CTCCTCTTATTTGTATGCTATGATAGAACAGCCTCTACTTTGGCCTTTTCCTGTTGGAAATTATTGAGAAGAATGTTTTTTCGGTTGATTCCAAGATAAAGAATAATCTATCAACCCAGAATATACCTTTTTAGGCCAAAAGTTTATGAATATATCTTAGAATTGAGTCCCACAATGATCTATCATCGACTCTACATAATTTTAAATTACACATTTCAAATAAGATTCCGATCGTCACTTCTCCGAAAGCATGGTTCTTGCCCTACTCCCCCCTTTGAGTTGGTCTATAAGAATTGGAAGACTCTTGTATGTACAGTAACGTTGTCTTCTATTGCTGGTTGACCGTTGCGATTTTCTTTAATTATATAATCTTGTAACTTCTGGGAATCAATCAGAAGTTAAGTCGTGCTTCCCTCTAATCCAGTTGCTTTTGAGGGGCAGAAGCAAGTAGATAATATAACGAGTTATAACGAAAAGAGATTAATATTTAACTTGTAAACAAAAATAAATCTTGATTATTCTTGATGCACTTGAGTCCTATCATGCTTTTGATTAGTGTTTTACAGCTTCAAAAAGTAGATATAACTGAAAGTGAAAGGACAATTTTAAGTTTATAAGATGATGATGTCCAACCAAACATGAACACCGGAAATACAAAAAGTGGAAATTACACCTACCCCTACATTTGGAGATTCAAGTTCTAAAATCAAATTTGGTGTTTAAAGTTTCAAAAATCAGATATTTAAATATATAGATACAGATTTTTTATATTTAATTAAATATTAATAAAAATATTATGAAAATTAAATTATATAAACCCACCCCAACCCTAAAATTATCAAACCCAAATTCTCGCCCTCTCTCTCTCCTTCTCTCGGCGCCCTCTCTCTCTCCTTCTCTCGGGGCCGGCGACTCCTCTCCAAGCTGCCAGCGACTTCCTCCCCTCTCCTCCCCTTCTCCACGCTGCTGCCCTAATTCGTAGCAGCGTTGCGACGCTGCTGACGGCGCCGCGACGCAACGCTGCGAATTAGGGCAGCATCTCGATGCTGGTGGCGTCGCTAGCCCGACACTCCGAGACGCCGAACGAAGGACCAAACCTGCCGTCCTCTCTTTACACTTGGATCTGCAGCAGCGGTCGCTGATTTTTTTTAATTTTTAACTGAAAATATGTTCACTGAGTTCTTGGATTTGCAGCAGCGGTCGATGTGGTTGGTCTATGAAGTAGTGGAGGCGGTGGTGGGTGCTATGTTGGTCTGTGAAGTAGTGGAAGCGGTGGTGATGGTAGCGGAGGCGGTGGTGAATCTGGTGATGGCAGTGTTGATGTGTGCGATTTTGGTAAGGCTGTGTGCAGTGGGTGCGGTGGTGGGTGCTGTGGTAGTACGGTTGTACGTACGGTGGTTGTGTTGTCCGTACGGTTGTGAGAGGTGAGAGATCGGAGCATCGCCGGAATTTGGGGGGATTTTTTTGCTTGTGGTGGATTGGGGGGATTTTTTTGCTTGGTGTGCCGACGACGGTGTTTTTTTTGTAGGTAGTGTGGTTCAAGCTTTTTTTGTTGCGCGATGGTTAGGTGGTTGTGGTTGTGCGGGCGGCAAGTGTTTGAATCTGTGTTGTGTTTCGTGACCAACTGGGACTGCATAATGGATTAATTGTGACCTTAAAATTCGAAAATTTGTAACTAAATATTAATCTGAGCCATGTGTAAAATGTTTTTGTAACCCGTGCTGTGATAATTTGAAAATAACTCATGATTATGAACAAAATCTTGAGTTGTGACCTGAACTGTGACTTGTGACCTGAGTTGTGACCTGGACTGTGACCTGTGACCTGAGTTGTGACCTGGGCTGTGACTTGGGAATTGGACTGTGACCTGTGTTGTGACCTGAGTTGTGACTTGTGACCCGACTCGTCGTAATCGGGATAGTCGTCGGAACGGTCATCGGAATCGGAGTAGTCGCCGGAACGGTCGTCGGAGTCGGAGCAGTCGTCGGAGAGGTCGCCGGATTAGTTGTCGGAGCGGTTGTCGGAGCGGTAGGGGTGGTGGTGGTGGAGATGGGTTAATTTTNATTTATGTGTATGTATAGGTTAAAAAATCTGATTTTTGAAATGTGAAAGTTATTTTGTTATTTTTGAAATAGGGTAAAGATAAAGTAGGATAACTGAATTTTTCCCTTACAAAAATAGAATATCGACCAATGGAGGCCCACAAAATTATCATTTCTATTGGTTGTTCTTTCATCAGGAAAAAGCAAGCTCTCGTGAACTTCTAATTGAGTGACATGTTCGATAAGGGGACTAGAAAATCATGTTTTGAAAAACATGAATAAAGGCCCTGTTTGATAACATGCATTTTCCATGTTTGACAGTGTTTGATGTGCATAATTTGCCATGGAACTTGATTCAAAAATTTTCCATCTACGCGCCTAGTTCCATGTGTGGCTGGAAAGGATTTTCCCACCTTTTAGGTGGGAAAATAAATTCTGAGTTCTGTGTCTTTTTTTTTTGCAATAAAAACAAATTTCATAACCAATTGTAAAAAAAAAAAAATTCATTTTAATGGAAAATTTTGATGCAAACGAACACTAAACTTTGATGAAAAAAATGATTTTTTAGGAAACATTTTTTTTTTACTTTTTGGCAATGGAAACAAATTTTATAACTAAGTGTGGAAAAAATTATCACTTTAATGAACAATTTTGATGCAAACGAAGGACAAACGAACACAATTTAAAAATTTTTCGAGTGGAAAATTATATCAATCAAACAACTTAATTAACAATTCTCTATAAAATAATTTCTAGGCAATTATTTTCCCTGAAATTCATTTTCTTTTCACCCATTTTCCACAATTGCAATCAAACGGACCCAAATTAAAATTTTGCTTAGTGTTTTGTTGTTCTTGTTACAAATATACATTTGTGGCTTTTTTAATATTATGTCTTTTTTGGCACTAAACACAAAATAAGTTAGGGAGTGGACGTGGGAGTGATTTATTAAATACATACTAAAATTGGACTAGAAATTATATATTTATAACATTGGTAAAAAAGAAAGGAAGTCAAACATTGCATGGAGAGAGAAAGTCATGTATGAATTATGATTTATTAATTAGAGAGAGGGGTTGACGACTTGACGTGAGACTGAATAAATAAATCATCAGTGACACATTTAAACCCAAAAATGTGGGAGTAAATTGGTACCCATTATTTCCAAAATACATTTTTCTCTCTTATTTTCAATCACGCATTCTTCGATAAAATAATATTACACGCAAATCCAAAAAAAAATTCTTTTTTTTGACCATATATTCTCCATCAAAATACTATTCCAAAATACATTTTGACCAAATTTTTAATTTTTTCCCCTCAAATTTGTTTTTAATAACGCATTTTATGGGATCTACTATTAACTTTTTAACCACACATTTCATTTAACTTTTATTAAAATTTACTAAAAAAATTATTTTTAGCCAAATCATCTACTAAAAATTTGGTTTTAGCCAAACCAAATAGGGACTAGATTGAACAACACCGAGCACATTCAAAGAATAAAAATAAGTCAAAATCGTGTCCCGTGTTTGATGAATTATAACATACCCTATATGCTTCTACAATGGTTTTGCAAGTCCAAGTTGAAGCATGATTTTAACAAATGTAAATATCAAACTGATGCCACTTGATAACATGTTTTAACCTTTGTGCTTATTTGAGAGAGCTTAAGAAGTTGATACACAGTCAATATCAAAGTCAACAATTAATTATAATTACAGATTTCATCAAATTTTATCAAAATCGGTTGAAACTTTAATAAAAAACTTTCATCAAACAGCATGCACCTCAAGGTTTCAAATATTTACAAATTCAAAGCAAAAATATGCAGACTCAATGGTATTTGAAAGAGTTCATATCAATTTTGTGATCTGGAATTAAAACACAATAACATGAGTTTGTTTAACAATAGGATCTCATTAAATGTTCATCTAGAATTACACTTGCGAAGCATGCGCGATTCTAGTGGATATCTATTATATATACCAATGAATACATCTATACATAAATGTGTGTTTGAATGTGCTTGCCTGTACAAGTACAAAGAAAACTAAAACAATGTGACATCCTCAAAATTACAAAAATCTAATCTATCAGTTTGTATTTACTACTGTAATATGAATCAGAAGCTTTTTGGCAGAAATTTATGCACTTACAATCAACGGGTGGCCATAGCAGTTAAGCTGTCCGTGGAAGTTTTAGGTTTCACGACATATGGAAGCGTTATCTCAACAGGGGCAGCATCTGGAATAACCTCTTGAAAAGGTACTTCGAAGGTCAAAGATTGGTATAAACAAACTTCATCTTCCTTGCAGTAGTATACCTGTAAACCATGCAAAATATTTCATAGCATCCTTATTAACTATCTCATCTAAAAGCTTAAATTGTGATAAAGAGGGGGACAACATGTGTATTCATTGAAATCTTGATCAAAGATTCATCCTTTATGTGCAGACAAGATTCATTTTTGATCAAAGATTTGACACGTGCATATTTTCACAAATGGGTAGCAGCAAGATTTAAACCATGTCTTTTACCTGGCTGTGATATCGTGTTAACTATCCAATACAAAAAGCTTAAACTGTTGGGAAAGGACCACGTTTATTCATACAAATCTGTGTCTTGTCTAATGTCTATGTTCGCTCGTTTTTCTCCCTCCATGACCCTCTCTTCCCCTTTCAATCCCACAGACATGCATATACAAGCAGAAACACAGATGACAAGCAGTGTAGATGTATCAAAACTTACTTTCAAAATTTGAATGGGTATGCCAAGGCCAAATTGAGTGGAAATCTAATCCATCTCTTTAACGAGAAACTAAGCCTCACTCCCTATCGATTTGGGGTAGGCTACATGATTCATCCTTTTCACTACGTTCAGTTTATTCTTAGCTAATGCAAGAGCATACTTGAAACGGGGTGGGTCTATGGTCGCTATTTGGGAATGGCCCAATGGCGCCTTCGTAAGTTATACTTGAAGGCTTGGGGTGGATTCCTGGGCCTGATTTTGGGTTGGATTGCACCTCCCCCGTTAGTTATAGCTTTTGGGCAAAGTGATTGCATCTTCCTACGTCCTTAGCAACTCTCATTTAGAAGAGTGACACAATGTGGGTAAATCTAGTCACAAGAGGGAGCTATATCAAGACTTACATGATTTGAAAGTGGTAATAATCGAGCAGGTTATTTTAGATAAGAGCAACTTCAAAAATTTATTTGCTGAAGGGATTAGTGCAGATTATAGTCTAAACCTCTGCCAACAAGATTTATTACAGTGGTTCTTTGGAAAGATCACTCAGCACATCATTTGTTTGTTCACAAAACCTTATGCTTATCCCCAGCAATATTAATAACCAGAAAGATACTTCACCTTGCAATAAATTCTACTCATCGAAGATGATGGGGAGGATCTTTTGAATTGTACAACTGCAGATCCTTCAGGGCTGATGTTCCCGTCCACCGGATTAAGAACAGCTGAATTTTCTGGCTCAACTTCTACACTGAATTTACTGCGTGCTTCCTGCATATGATACTAGACACCATTACTAACCTATGAAGTTAAAACAGTGCACAAGAGTCATCAAACAATAATGCAAGAAATTCAGATAGAGAAAGAACCTTCGAGAAGTGGTAACCCTCTGGCACTGATATCTTAAGACATAATTTGCCCTCATTGGATGAAACACCATTAACTTTGACAGTCTCCGTGTCAGCTGTAGATCTCCTTCTAAGGCGCCTCAACGATTTGGATTTTGGTGCTGGAGCCTGGACTCCTTTCAACTCCAAAGTAAGAAGTACAGGTTCTACCTTGCTCAGGTCTAAATACCTGATTAAGCTGTTGTTCGTATCGGCTATAAATAATCTACCTAAAGTATGTCAAGAGACAATATAAGTATGAAGTTGTCTTAGTTATTCATATAGCATTAACTATCTCATCTGTTAAAGAGGGGCCACATATATTCATTAAATAGTGTCTTCAACAAAGCCCCTCATATGCACACCAGGTTTATTGTTCCCATCAATGATCTGATAAGTGCACAATTTTTAATGAATAAGTAGCAACGAGACTTGAATCTGGATCTTTTGCCTAGCTCTAAAACCATGTTAGCTATCTCATTTAAAAGCTTAACTTGTTATAGAAGGGCCACATGTATTCGTTTAAATTGTGTCCTCAACATACAAATTAAAAAGGAAGGGGTGAAAAAGCTTGGATCAACAATTGGAACATTGATAGCTCAAAAAGGCCATGGGAAGTGAATTTTATGCAATATATAAAAGCGCACATACGAAATTCCATACTATGATGGGATTATGCATCTATGACTTAATCTATAGGGGATAAATGGAATTTACCAGATAGAATTTGAATGATATAGAAAGAAAAGTATACCATTTTGGGCTTCGACAATTCCTGAAGGCTCTGAAAGCTGAAAAAGCAAGTGTCAATATTGGTATTCCAAGGTAGCAGGTCAAAACAAGCCAGAGCGATATACTTTAATGGAAGAATGTTATATATAAATACATTTGTTGAAGATATGGAAATAATAATCTCTATGATATTTTTCTAATAATATATGATTATTTTCCTTAATAGTTGATTGTATAATTATTATACAATATTTCCTTTTAGAGTTATTTATAGCCCTATAAATAGGGTTTTTTACTTTGTAATAAAAACAAGTTTATTATATACAATTTATAATATTTTTCACATGGTATCAGAGCAGTTTCGATCCTAAACAAATTTACCTTTGAATTTTGTTTCCGGAAAGCGGCCTTGAGCCGCTCGTCCGGCTACCAATGTTTTTTTTCCTTTTCGGATGTATCCCTTTGATTTAGTATATGTCCAGTTCATCTGGAATTTGGTTTAGTATATGTCCAATTCATCTGAAATTTGATTTGGTGTTGGTTCGGTGTATCCGAAATTTGAAATTTGCATTCAGTTTATTTGGTATTTGTCGAGTTGGAATTTGAAATTTGCGTCCAGTTCATTTGGTATTTGTCAAGTTGGAATTTCAAATTTGCATCCCTTTGGTTTAATAGTGGACGCGTTGATTACTTGCAGATATGGGTGTTCCTTCTTCCTCTCCAACCCGTATTGAGATTGACTATCATCTTATTTCTCCTTCAAGTCTTGGTGATGGTTTGATTAGATTGGTGGATGATGATTTTTCATTATCATCAACTTTGAGTTATTTGTTCGGCTAGGTTGACATACAAGCAATTTTGAAGATTTGATCGGATCGATTTATCTTTCAAACTCAATTTGATTGCTGCTACACTATATTGAGTTTGAGGGAGGGTGTTGAAGATATGGAAAGAATAATCTCAATGACATTTTTCCAATAATGTAGGATTATTTTCCTTAATAGTTGATTGTATAATTATTATACAATATTTCCTTTTAGAGTTATTTATAACCCTATAAATAGGGTTTTTTACTTTGTAATAAAAACAAGTTTATTATATACAATTTATAATATTCTTCACAACATCCATTTCATATTATATCAATTCATCAAACAAAAGTTTTGTATGAACGCAATTGTGAGCATGTATTCAAGATCGTCATGATTTGAAACTAATGAGTAGTCTTGAACAGTAAAAAGTTCAAATACACTATGCTTCTGATTATGGACATAAGCGTGCATATCAATATTCTTTGTGGAATCATATTGATAAGAGAAAAGCTTTCTAATTTGAACTGTAAACAAAAAATCTAATGGTTTATATTTAGGTGATCTATTATGCATCTTGAAACATATTAAGTATTTTGCATCTTGAAACATACCTAGGCGATCTATTATGCATATCGATATTACTTTCTTTTCTGCATGTATTAAAATCATCGAGCATCGGGTATTTGGGATTACCGAGTAGCCAATATTGGATTAAGAATGCAAGATTGGAGGACCAATATTGAGCACCTTCACGTCATATAGATATATATAAAATAGCTTCCTTGAACATGCTAATTGGAGATCCTAATACCAGTTTTGTGAGAAGGAATGGAGACAAGGAAGGAGCAGTTAGATTAAAAGAGATTGCCTACTGTAAGACAACTTTGAAACATTTTACATCTTCCGAACATAGATTGAATCCAATCTGAATATTCACAAACCAAGTAATTAGGCTGGATTTTGTAGAATGTTCGGTTGTATATGGCCATGGGTGGTAGGGAAATACAAACATTTGGCACGAATGACCATACAAATGACATGCTATACATTGGTTCTCAGTGATGGACAACACTGCACACAACTATGAAGAAGCTATGACCTTTATTTTTATTTTTTTCTAATCTTATCCAGTCATATCCAATTTAGCATACCAAACATGCATAACTATCCTATAACCAAGCAACCTTGTAGTCACAACCCCACAAAATGTACTGTTAACTGTTGTCTCAAACTGTTTACCGATATCCTTGTATGCATAGGTTATTTTAAAATAAATTTTAAATGACGACGGGTAACATTTTTATGCGTGTTATAATTTGTAATACTCTTTTCCTCGTTGAATGTTTTACATTAACTCTGCACAATTATTAGCTAGGAACTGAAATTCTATGTGCACATTACTGCTTCAAAACACAGAAGCAAGTAATTAGGCTGGATTTTGTAGAATGTTCGGTTGTATATGGCTATGGGTGGTAGGGAAATACAAACATTTGGCACGAATGACCATACAAATGACATGCTATACATTGGTTCTCAGTGATGGACAACACTGCACACAACTATGAAGAAGCTATGACCTTTATTTTAATTTTTTTCTAATCTTATCCAGTCCTATCCAATTTAGCATACCAAACATGCATAACTATCCTATAACCAAGCAACCTTGTAGTCACAACCCCACAAAATGTACTGTTAACTGTTGTCTCAAACTGTTTACCGATATCCTTGTATGCATAGATTATTTTAAAATAAATTTTAAATGACGACGGGTAACATTTTTATGCTTGTTATAATTTGCAATACTCTTTTCCTTGTTGAATGTTTTACATTAACTCTGCACAATTATTAGCCAGGAACTGAAATTCTATGTGCACATAAATCTACAATAAATACTATCTATTCTGTATTGAATTTCACATCTGTGCACAATTAGCCAACTACAAATCGAGAACAAGTGTATTTATGTATGTTTCCAGTTGATGTGTGACATGAGACCAAGTGTCTAAGTTTGAATAGGTGAAAAACAAAATCTAGATTACTTTGACAGGGCTAAAGATTTCACGTGTGGAGGGTCTTGTTTAGGATAGTAAATGCTAATGTGAAAAACATGCAAGGAAATGAAGACCTTCAATTTGGGAAGGATTAATAAAGTACAGCATAAAGATCACTTCTAGAAACTTTCTTTGACCTAATTAGCAGATTCCCAGTGATAATGATATATCAACCATTTCAGGAACCATAATCACAAGAAGGTTTTTACTGTATGACCTCACACTCTCACTTCATAGTTTAATAAACCTAATAGAGATTGAAATTCAGACAAGCATTGAAGCTTCTTCAACTTCTCGGGGATCAATTTAAATTTTTACACAATCCAAATAAGCAATTTCAGTTTTGTTATTCAAAATGGAATTTCAAAATCAATATTTTATTTTTTCTAAATAAACCTGAAGCAAGTATCACATCTTTGTTGCATCAGAATATTCTATGTATATTCTTCATCGGTATCCCCCCATTTATGTAACATCTAAATATTACTCAGAATCCTACTCCAACCTTCAGAAGAATTTTACGGAGGGATTATGCCATCGAGAAATTTGGTACCATGATACGTGTCTACATACTCAAACTCAGACAATCATAGACAACAGGACTCCAAGATAGCACAAGAACAATTGATGACAAAGAACTAAAAATTATGCAAACGTAGGTAAAAAGTTGGATAAGCATTTTCCAACCTGAGCTGCTTGGGCTGTTCCATCCTTGAACCCAGCTTTTCCGGTGCCTGCTAAGGTACTCACTCTTCTACTAGCTGGATCCAGCTTCTTAATCTGGTATTCCAAGAAAGCATCAGCAAGTAAACTCACTTGAAGTAAATTATTTTAGTTGGCTTGTCTACTGTCCCGAATTAGAAGCAAATTATAAGAGGCTACATTTCTATTGATGCCTTAAAACTATGATAGCACTGTAGCAATATAGTACTTTTGGACCCACATGCATAGAAGTAATCACATTTTCATTTCACCATAAAATCACAATACCTTGTGATTGTAAGAATCTGCTAGATAAATTTGACCATCCTTCCCACAAAAGACACCTAATGGATGTTGAAGAAGAACTTCAGAGCCTACTCCATCATGGTCTCCAAACTGCAAATTGAGCAAACTATGTAACAGACGATGTTTTATCACCACAGGGTTGACTGGTGAATCTAATTTTTATTTAGGAGCATAAATACCCTAAACAAATTGTCTGAGAAAACTGGATCACCCCCAGCAAGTAATCTTGATCCCCCTGTTTTTAGATCAAGTGCTCGAATGGAACTACTCTCACTATCAGCAATATATGCATCCTTTAAATCTGTTGAAACTCAAATGGCGAGGAATTAGCATATGAACTGGAAGTAATTAAAAGTATATTGCAGCTAGTGACTGACCTTGTAATTTCAATTGTTTCAATATGTTACTACTTACCAGGAGATAATGAAATCCCAGAAGGTTGTGCAAATGAAGTGCTTCCGGAACTGTATCAAAAGAGGATAGAGAAGCCCAAAATTAAAAGAAGAATAAGAATTGGGAATGGAAAAGGTTACAGGATGGTTTCAAGAAGTCCTTTCATCCCCACCACAAATACTCTAGTATAGTGCACACATGACATTGTCACCAATCAAATACAAAGAAGGGATAATTGAGCATTGGGAAGTGTAGCTCTAAGTCTTTACTCTTCTTTAAGCTGAAAGGGATAATTGAGCCACACTTCCCAATACTCAATTATCCCTTTCAGCTTCTATAGTAGGCCACATAGTCCCAGTGATTTTGGAGTTAGCAATCTATTGTAAAATGGATAAAGTTCATGTAATATCGAGGTTTTAAAATATATGGTTCACCTGATAACATGAACATGTATAGCTACGCATATCTACTCTTGTATAGTAACACATCTCTCTCATTTTGGACAGTGTCTAATTGATACGTGCAGTGATTCTATCAATGGGTAACCTATCCTATAATACAAACTTCAGCCAATTAATGAAAAATGGGAAGTCATCAGTTTAGTTTAATATATAAATATCTCAAGATGTGCCATCTTTATCACAAGCTTGTCAATAGATCAAAAACAATGATGAATTGTCAAAATGATTCTCTTTCGGGATTTTCTTGTTCAGTAGGTCTACAAATTCATTTCTTAGGAACAAGTACAAGATTAAGGCCCTTCATGGTAAATACACTTGGGAAATGTTTGTTATGAACATCGGCCTCTAAAAAGGAGATGCACTCTTAGCTTGGAAACATAATGACTCATATATTTCTGGTTTCTAAACGAACTTCATTATGGGTGTGAAATAAAGAGAGATTGGAAAAGATTCTCTTTCTCATTACTCAATTAAAAAGTTGATACATATACATACACAAAACCTAAAGCTATATTAGGAAAGTACGTAAATAAGGAATCTAGAATTAAGTTAATTTAGCTTGCTATATACACCTAATTACAACCTATAACACTCCTCCTCAAGTTGGAGCATAGATATTAATCATGCCCAACTTGTTACAAAGATAATCAACCTGAACCCCGTTTAAAGCTTTCGTGAAGATATCCCTTAATTGTTCTCCAGTCTTCACATACCCTATAAAAATCAAACCTTGTTGAATTTTCTCGCGAACAAAATGACAATCAATTTCAATATACTTAATTCGTTCATGAAACACAGGATTAGATGCAATATTAATGGCAGTTTGATTATTACACCACAGTTTTGCTGGTACTGAAATTTTAAGACATATTTCGGTCAATAGCTAACATATCCACATTATCTCACACGCAGACTGTGTCATAGCCCTATATTCTGCCTTTGCACTTGATCTCGACACAACACTTTGCTTCTTACTCTTTCATGAGACCAGATTTCCTCCGACGAAAACACAATAACTTGCCGTGGATCTTCTATTCACTTTGGAACCTGTCCAATTTGCGTCTGAAAAACATTCAATACGAGTGTGCCCATGATTTGCATACAAGATACCTTGTTCGGGTGCTCATTTCAAGTAGCACAAAATTTGTCCTAGTGCTGCCCAATGATGAACTGTTGGTGATGCCATACACTGACTAGCAACACTAACAGAATATGCAATATTTGGACGAGTCACCGTAAGATAATTTAGCTTTCCAACCAACCTTCTATATCTCTCAGGATCTTCAATTTCTTCTCAATTTCCTGTAAGGTGCATGTTTGGTGTCATTGGAGTACTACAAGGTTTCGCCCCCAATCTTCCTGTTTCAATTAATAAGTCAAGGACATATTTTCTCAGAGATAAGAAGATCCCCTTTTTACTCCTTATGACTTCAACACCCAAGAAATAGTTTAGCATCCCTAAGTCCTTCATGTGAAACTGAGTATGAAGGAAAGACTTAATGGACGAGATTCTCATAGTATCACTTCTAGTAATGACAATGTCATCCACATACACAACTAAAAGAATGATACCAACTGCTGATTGTTTGTAGAACACAAAATGGTCAGACTTGCTTTTCATCATACCAAAATTTTCAACAGTCTGATTAAATTTTTCAAACTAAGCACGATGACTCTTTTTCAAACCATACAGAGATTTTCGAAGACAACAAACTCGCCCAGACTCCCCCTGAGCAACCTCAGCAACAAAACCAGGAGGTTGTTCTATATACACTTCCTCCTGAAGATCACCATCAAGAAAAACATACTTGATATCTAGTTGATGCAAAGGCCAATGATGAGTAGCTGCCATAGAAATAAACAACCGAACAGTTGTCAATTTAGCCACAGGTGAAAAAGTGTTAGAATAGTCCACTCCATAAGTTTGAACATATCCTTTAGCAACAAGACGGGCTTTCAATCGAGCAACTGATCCATCCGGATTTACCTTAACTGTGAACACCCATTTGCACCCTATAGCCCGTTTTCCTAAAGGTAAATCGACCAAATTTCAAGTACCATTGTCATCTAAAGCATTCATCTCCTTAATCATTACATGATGCCAACCAGGATGAGATAGGGCTTCCTGGAGAGTTTTAGGAATAGAAATAGAATCAGGAGATGCAATAAAAAAAGAAGAGGAAGACGACAAAGAGTTATAAGAAACAAAAGAAGAAATAGGATAAGTACATTGGCGTTTACCTTTGCGTAATACAATAGGAAGATCATCATTTGAGACTGGATCTGATGACGAAGGAGTAGGTGTAGGACATAAATTAGGAAGGTGGCGCCTGGAGTAGACTTGATATATAAGAGGCCTAACAGGAGCTTGTTCCGAGACGGTCCAGAGGATGTGATAGAATATACTAACAAATCATCATCCTTCCCCTGATGTGCGGGAGGAGGAGAAGACGAAAAATAGGGTATGTCTTCCATGAAGGTAACATCAACCGAGACAAGATATTTGTTAAGACGAGAACAATAACATCTATAACCTTTCTGAAGACGTGAATAACCAAGGAAGATACACTTCAAAGACTTGGGATCTAATTTGGTTACATGCGGACGGACATTTCGAACAAAACAAGTGCTACCAAATATCCTAGGTTCAACATGAAATAATGACTTATTGGAAAAAAGGATTTTATAAGGGATCGCACCATGAAGAACAGATGATGACATTCGATTAATTAGAAAACATGCTCTAGAGACTGCATCGGCCCAAAAAGGTTTGGGAACATTTATTTGAAATAATATGGCTCGTACAGTTTCAAGAAGGTGTCTGTTCTTTAATTCTGCCCCTCCATTTTGAGATGGAATATCAACACAAGAAGTTTCATGAAACATGTCATTCTGAACCATAGAAGCTTGAAATAAACCAGACGTATATTTTTTGGCATTATCACTTCGCAATGTACAGATCGAAACATTATATTGAGTTTTAATCTCAGCACAAAACGCACAAAAAAGATAGAACTCAAAACGACTTTTCATTAAATATAACCAAGTGACACGAGAATAATCATCCACAAAAGTAACAAAATACTTAATTCCAAGTTTAGACAAAATAGGGCAAAGACCTTAAACATCAGAATGAACTAATTCGACAGGGACATTAGCATGTTTATTGACTCTAGGACTCGAACTAAGACGACGGTGTTTTGCAAACTGACACGACTCACAATCTAAAGAAGACACCTTACTAAACTGTGGACAAAGCTTCTTGAGCGAAGGAAGAGATGGGTGACCCAATCTATAATGTGCCTCGAAGGCAGATGTTATACCAAAGCAAGCAATAGACTTAGGTATTGGTGTGTCAAGAATGTAGAGGCCTCCAGATTCATATCATTTACTAATAATTTTCTTCGTCATAAGATCCTGAAATAAGCAATAATCAGGAAAAAATGAGATGCAACAATTAAGATTGCAAGTAAGCTGGCTTACAGAGATCAAATTAAAGGACAAATTAGGTAAATGTAAGACAGATGACAGAGGAAGCAGAGGGGTAGGAGTAATTGTGTCAGGCCCACGAACACAAGATGGTGACCCATCGGCTAGAGTAACGGTAGACGTGGAAGTGTGTGACTGAAAAGTAGAAAAGAGACCAGAATTACTTCGCCATCAATGAAATTCGAATTTGTAGGAATAAACGAGCATCCTCTCTAAGCCACGTATGCTTTGAATCATCTGTAGGAGGATCATCAGTTAAATGAGTATCTTTGTCAATACTCCGTAGATAAAATCTAACGGTCTTGCTTCAATCCAAATAATTCGAGCCACTAAATTTATGATCCGTGATTTTGGACATTACATTTACCATATCTGACGCAACAATAGATTTCTTTTCAACCATAACTTCGAAGCAAGGCAACAAACACAAGAAGGCCCACCAAGCCCAATAATCAAATTAATCACAAATGACTTTGACCCAATAAATCCAAGTTCAAACCAATTAATATTCCACCAACGCCTTGAGCCCAAATGAATTTACCCAGCCCAATTAAATCCCAGCAGCCATACCAAATATGGCCCAGTAAATCACGAGCCCAATCCACCTCACTGACCAAAATAAAAACCCAGCACTCACAGCCCAACCCAATTCCACACAAGAACACACTGGACGAGACATAAATCCGATGCCGGTGCGGACGCTCACCCGAAGCCGGCGCTCACTGACGCTCACCCGAAGCAGAAACTCCGACAGCTACTGCTAGTGAAGAAGCTCCGGACGAAACAAAACTCGAAACAGAAAACGAGGTCAAGAACCGAAGCCGAAACAGAAACCCGAATCCGGCGCTGGACGCTCACCACCACCGAAGGCGCTTTTGATCTTCTCCGGCAAATAAGTGACTCAGGTAAGGGTTGATTTATCTCCAAGAGTACTAACCCAAAGCTTTGCCACCATCGAGAACAAACACAAATTTTCAGAAACTCTCAAACCCTAATTTAGAGACCCTCGCTCTGATACCATGTGAAATAAAGAGAGATTGGAAAAGATTCTCTTTCTCATTACTCAATTGAAAAGTCGATACATATATATACACAAAACCTAAAGCTATATTAGGAAAGTACATAAATAAGGAATCTAGAATTAAGTTAATTTAGCTAGCTATATACACCTAATTAGAACCTATAACAATGGGAAGTGCCTATGTGCCCCTCTGCATTAGTAATATTGCATCAGACCTTGCCCTTTTAGATATTACTAATCTTTCTTGACAATAAAGAGCAAATCCTAGATACATGCCAGTTGCTGAAATCATCCTACTTTAAACATTAAAAACAGAGGGTATAGGGTTCAAATAATCTAATTGCAAAGAAGTGTAACCCACTGAAGGAAACTAGCTTTAAGTATATAAAATTAGTTTATAAAAGCTAAAACTGCTCAAGCACATGTAAAGGATAAATCTAATTTAAAACAAATAAAAGTGAATCTGGAGCATGCTTGGTTATGATTCACTCACAACAAAGACACAGACAAATGCATAAATGGGAAGTCCTGTTACCTCGAACCATTCAAATTTCTTTCATAACCATCACCACTAAAAGCTCTTGTAATACCATCTAAAGTATTATGTTCCCAGATCTGATGCTGGCCAGCCATGGCCAGGTAAACAACTTCATTCACAGGATCAAAGCAAAGATCCCAGGGAGAATTGAGGAGCTGAAATATCACAAGTGTTAAAGATATTTACGTATTTTTTCCACAGCCTAAGTAATTTGCTTAGATGGAAAGAGTCTGCCCATTCTAACTACATAATATGCATGCTATCCTCCATTGAGAAGTTTCCCATATATTTACAAAATTTGATGTCCAAGGGTCTATTCTTAAATTTTGTACGCTCTAATCTTGCCTGTGTGGATCCTGATCCGCCACCTTTGTAGTCAGAACCTTTGGTTCCATTTCCAGCAAGTGTTTGCACCATCTCGTTGACAAAATCAATCACCCTACATCCATAGAAGTTTTATATATTAACAAGATACAACTATATTAATGTTCCATAATAAAGCTAATTATATCTATTCTTTCAAAAGTGATGATGAAATATTTAACATCTAGAGTGAAAAGAAAAAGCTGGCAAGCTCTACTTTGACCTTCTCAAGATTACTCAAGTTGGAAACTAATGCAATGGATGCAAAACACTATCATGCCGGTTCTCTTAGTGTTATAAAGGAAGGAACAAAAATATTTGAAGACTATGATATATACAAATTAATTTTTTCTCCAATCCCTAACATCTCAAACATTTAGATCAGGTGGTCAACGTGGTATAAAAGCAAAATAGCAAACTAAAGTCCTAAGTTCAAGTCTCTCCAATGCTCACGTGTCAGGCCTTTGATTAAAAAATAATCGAGCTTGCACGTACGAGGGTGTATTGAAGTGCAGATTCCTTTCTCTAACAACTTAGCATTTATATGAGGTGGTTCAACAATATTACAGTGGGCAGAAAACATGTAAATAATAACATTAAACAAATCACTCAAAAAATGCCTTGCTCTGAACTACTAAAATATTGGTAATCAATGTAAAGCATGTTCTTTAATAGGGTGAAATTTCTACTACAAAATAGAAGTATTTGAAATGTTTAACAGAAAATGAATTGCGCATACATTTTTCTTTTAATCAAGTATCCAATCCATTTTTTCAATCCAATCCAGACAATCATTACCTCAGAGCATGGTTCTCAGTGTCTGCTACATACAGGAGATTTTTTTTCGTATTGTAAGCAAGACCCTACAAACACATAAATTCACTAATTTATTTTATTTCCAAGAATAACTAAATGCACCAACGGGGAAAAATATAATAAGCATACTGTTCCAAGAGAATGGTCATAAGCTATAAAAAAGTATTAAAAAGAAAAATATCACCTGTGGCCGACTGAACATGGCATCATCAAAACTACCATCACGAAAACCTTCTTCTCCAGTGCTCCCAATTTGCATTATAAAGTTCCCATCAAGGTCAGTGACAACCTGGGCTCCATAAAGGACAAAAAATAGTTATCCATGTCTACACAACCTTAAAAAACCAAGACAACATACTTTTACTAACATTAAACGGGTGCAAAACATGTGCGAATGGACCATACTAATCAGACACAATACTAGTTTAAAGATAGCTCTGGAAATTGAGAAGATTCTGTGAAGTATCAACTTCACGATATAATAATTAGAAATTTGATGGAATTTCCACTAAAAATTAAAAAGTTGGAAAGACTTGACAGAAAGACGGTCTGAAATTTTTCTTAGATCTGATCTGAAGCTACTGGAATAGGATTGAGATAATCTGATATTTGGATGGAAATTGCTAAAACTCCTTCTAATCAAGCTGAGTCCTAAATATATTTATATCCCAGAATAAATGCAGCACAACAAATGTCTACAACGTGTTGTGGGGGGGAGGGGGGAAGAAGAGAGAGAGGGGACCTACTATTCGGTTATGGTTGCTATCTGAAATGAACAGTCGGTTGTTGAGGATGTCGACCTCCAGCTTACCAGGAAATTTCAAAGGGGATGTCAGCAAACGAAGATCATTCTCTTTCTCCAGCCGCAAGGGAATAGGTCTGCTATCCAATAGTTTATTTCTACCATAGAAGAGAAGAGCTGCTTCGATCAAATTGTCAAGATCCTTGGAGAAAAAAGCACACGGATTATTCAAAACCATTTTTCAGTTCTTGACCACATGATAAGAATTTTAGTAATTTCAAGCTTTGTAAGTAAAATGCAATAGGCCATCTACAATGGGAAGAAAGAAGGAAAAAATTTCTTCCAAAAAGCACAAAAATGGAACAAATTTTAGTCTAACTTCAATGCTAACAAGAAGGACATCAATTCAACTCCTGGATTTTCGAATTGAGAGAGATCAAGAATTCTCATTATTTCTTAGATTTCATCACAATTACATTTTTGTCTAAATTGATCCTTTCAGGGCCTAGGCAAACGTACTTTCATCAGAGAAGCTCCTCTTAGTCATCTTATAATTTCACATTAGAATCTGTATAAATTGGCTGCGAGGTAGCAAGGTAGGTAGACACAAATTTTTATCTGTTGAGGGTTTAACAAAGCCCCACTCAGGCCAGGGGTTGGAAATGGGCTGGAATGGTTTGGTCAAGCCCAAAAACCACAGAGCTTTTTCCTGTTAACAGACTGTTCTGGTTCTCTAGCTGATGCAGGCCCTTTCATGTGCTGAAGAAACGTGAAACCAGACCCTTTCATTGAACTGTGATTAGATGGGGCAGTTTTAGCCGAACCAGCGAATAAAACTATCTTCGATTTTATGGAAATTAGCCCAAAATTCTAGAAAAAACAATAGCCTAAAACAACACGAATCTATCTTTTTCAAAACCTCTTCCGAAACCTTAGGGCTAGAATGTTTGACCCAAAACTGAAGTATTTTAAAATTGTATACGTGAACTGAAGCCTTGAAGGGGGACTGAAAAAGGCATTATAATGGACTACGTAAAACATGCACAACAAATAACACGCAAGTGTGGGCAGACACACTTGTCCTTTTCATTTCATTATTCCCCCTCCTCAAAATAAGCACCATCACCAAACAAACCCAATTACATATTTTATCACATACAAAGCATCCCCACAACCACAATTTATCTGTCTGAATATGGAAGAGATAGAAAAGAGGAAAAGGAATAGAAGGCAAACAGAGGTGTGAGCGAAAATTCTCCGAAAGGGAACCAAAAATAAAAAAATAAAAAAATGGGAAAGGTAAAAAAGAAAAGAAAAAGGGAAAGTAGGACAAGGATAGGATGGCAGTTTAGGCCAGTAAGTTCAGATGAATCCCAAGTCCTGATGGGCTCTGACTAAGCCAGGACAGTTTGGTCTAGGAAATTGTACAGGCCTGATCCAGTAAATCCAACAACCCAGCTTGGACCACAACTGTTGAGGTCTGGACTCCTTGCTTGAGACCAGTTTTTTGTTGCCTACGACTGATCCAGGCAGTTGAGACTGAAATGTCCTGTTTGCCAACCCTAACTTACATGTCTGGCAAAATTCCAATCAATTCGTGTATATGCACTCGAATTTGATTCAACTTGTAGTGACTAAAAGGTCTATACATGCAATGAGAAAAAAGAAATAAGCTTGAAGACTCAGTAAATTCAATAGAACCAGATAGCAATATGAAGTTTTAAGTACATAATCTGACGTTATGTTGACATCATATGAGGAGAAGCAATTAGTGATCTAGAAACTAAATCAAACAAAAACAAGAAAAGAAGTTCCACAGAACCTTAGTTTAACAGGGTAAGCGTTACAAGTTAAAAAAGAAAGAAAAAGAAGATCAATACAACTAGAGTAGGAAAAAGGAAATCTATATAGAACTTTGTGTACCTTTCGGCGACCTTCCCCTGATATTTGTGCAATCAGCTTTCCATTTGGCCCAACAATGGCAAATGTAGGCCATGAATTTATACCCAACTCTCGCCATAAATACATATCACCATCATTGACGACCTAGGAATAAGAAAGTTACAAGTAGAATAGACCAACAATAATTCTCCAAGAATTTTCGTGTCTATCTGTGTGTGTATGGTTTTTATTTGTTAATACATCTCGTGCACACAGGAACTAACAATACATCTCGTGCACTGTTTTTATTTGTTAATGATTTAGTTTGTTAGTAGCTTTTCTAATTTAGTAGCGGGATAGTATTTGGAAATTTAGATTAGCTTTCCTTTTCAATGTTGGAGGTTCTTGAAGGAATTACTTTATTGCCATCCTTTTTTTTTCCATCTCTCGCTATTGTTCTTTGGTATATTGGAATGTTTGTAATGCATAGTGGCAGGAACTCATTCTTGAGTTATTCAGTCAACAAGTATGCATCTCAGGAAAGGGGTCATTACTTCCTCTAGGAAATTAAATTCGCCCACCTTTGATGCGTCAAAAGCTGATTCACATATGACATACCTATCCATTAGTATCAAAATTGACAGTCACATTCTCAAGATTAATAAAGTTTTGACCATGAACTGACACAAAATCTATGACTGATGGACTTCCTTAGCATATTACTTAGGAGCTTGCAAATTCTGTTTTCTTGTTTTTGTGTATCAATTTTCCACACACAAATTTTCTTCACCATTCTTTCCCTTTCTGTCACCTACTGCACCAACTTGGGCAAAGCTGATCTTATATCAGAAAATTATATGTTAAAGAAAAGGTTCTGCAATTTACTAACCGGATGAGAGATGCCATATCGTAGTACTGCATTGCGAATGGCTTCCAAGTCTTTTTCATTGTCAAACTTCGCGGAATGCACCCCTATGACAACAAACTGGGCAAAATAGTCACATAATAATTCATTGCAAGGTCAGGTAATTTTACATATATGGGCACCCAAAAGACTATCATATGGTAGAATTCCATGTTATCACGTGGCAATGTGTATGATGAGAACTCCTATATGTATACTATCTTGTTCGAGCTTATATAATACTGCTCCTCATGATATGATTGTGGTTCTCATTTGTTTTCATTTGATTTTTCAAACACAAATAATGAGAAACTTGTCCAAAGAGCCAATAACTTTGAAACTGAGTTTTCATTTATTTGTCAGGGGCAATCTAGTAGCATTAAAAAAAAGTAAAGAATGGTGGTGGCTGGATTCCTGCTGCAGAATAGGCCAATAGCCATGGATTACATGCTGAGCTTTGGATAAAGATCAAGAAAATTAAGATTGCCACAACCCATTTCAATTTCTCCATACCTTGTGTTACTACGAAACAACAATAGCAAATATTCAAAAATGGAAACTCTAGAGTAAACCTTATTTATCTAGTTGGCAAGCTGGGGATGCTTAATGTTTTCTCATTATGATAAGTAGAGTGTTGGAATAAGTGTTACTAAAACTGGACCAGACCAACCGGTTCAACCAGAAAATCAGGAACTAGACCGAAATCAAGTCAAGTCACATAGTATTAATTGCTTAATAGAAAAACAATAAAAACTGGTAAGCCTGACGGTTAAACCTTAAACTGCTGAATTGTCCACGATTTTTGAGTTCTTACTAAAAGGGACAAAAGCCCAAGTAAAAAAATATTTATTAAGTCCACGTGCACATCTAATTTCACTACCCTTCTGCTTGACCTTTCACAACATTCGCCACAGCCATTTCATAAGGCTTTTTTTCTCTCATCCCAACAATCAATATCCACGGTATTAGTCACATAGGAGTATTTAACCTTTCAAGGTGATCCTTGTTGATTTACATGGGACTCCACATGTCTCATGCTACTTGGGTCAAAGTGTAAGCTGATGATGTTTTTGACTACTGGACTTTCGTCATCTAGGGTGCAACATTTGTGCTACTATGCTTGTATTACTCTCCCCGATGTAAGAATTAATCACCCAGCAAGTGAAAAAAGAACAAGCAGGTAATTAAAACCATTTTTTCAATGTCTAGCAAATCCTTATATAAGAAACATCAGTTTTTATAAATATATATTAACCGCAAGATGTGGTTGTGACATATTCTCATTTTCTTAAGCATCTTTTAGTTTAGACAAATTGGTTAACTTTTTTTAAACAAGTTGCATAATCATAAATTGTGTAGGAAGATATATGAATTTGTATTTACTTTGAATTACTTACTTATATATTTAGTCCATCGTTTGTTATAAATTTTTCATAGTGTGTGCATATATATAAAAATAAAAAATAAAAATTATTGACCTGGTTGAACCTTTTGACCCTTGTCCTTCATTTTTCCCAAGTTGATGCTATGCCTGGTTTGAAAATATTGGTTGGAACACAATATTTCAGTTTTTAAAACTTCACCACCTTCATAATTCTCTTCTCATTTGGAGAGTGATTTTATTGCAAATTAGGTAGGTTGTATATGATAGGAGTGAGTTTAAAGGCTCTTCAACTCTAATTTTGTTTCCTTTTACATTATACAAGTCAATAATAGAGTAAATTAGAATCTTATTTTGTTGAACCGCTTGAATAAATATCTTAAGCTATTAGAGAATGTAATAAGTATATCATTTAAATTTTGTATCGAACACGCCCCATCATGTCTAGGTGAAATTTATTTTTTTCCATTAAATCTTTACATGTGCAAAATTTTATTAATTGGATTATTACGAGACTTGAACCCACCACATTTGCATGCCTTAATACCATGTCAAATGACTTGATCTAAAAGTTCAAGTTATTAGATAGCCACATGTATATCATTTAAATCTTGTATTCAACGCATTTTTTTACTTTAGCTTCTGTTCTCAAACTTAGAATTGAGAAAAGCTAAAAAGGAACGAAAACCTATATTAATTGGAAAGAAATAATAAACCCATGTGCACATGTTCTCCATCTACAGAAAGCCATACTAACATATCTCACGGAGAAAAACTGTTCACATGAAAAGATAAGGTCACATCATTAATCAATTTGATAATGCGCGCACACAAAAATCTCATATAAAGAATTTAGAAATTGCATAATAGCAGCTTGATGATGGTTAGCATCAAAAGTTTCAAATGAAGAAATAGGAGCTTACTGGCATATCTTTATATTTTTTCTCCAAAAACTCTAGGTCTGGCAATACATGCATACAATTTATGCAGCAGTAGGTCCAGAAGTCGAGAAGAACCACCTTTCCTTTCAAATCCTGTCCAATCAAAAGGTTATAACCATTAAGAAGGAGTGTTAGCAAGCTGAAGCTTCTCTCCAATATAAAATAACCACAAAGAGATAATAAGCACGCAAAGTAAACAGAATTGAACGCTCGGTGGTCCCTTGGGTGTAATCCATCTTACCATACATGAAGCATGGGCTGTGAAACGAAAGCATTAAAGGGGAATACCTAGGAACCTGAGCCATTTTTTCCTTGTATTTGCTGGTATAGCAAATATGAAATCTCAACAAAATTTACATAAAAATTCCAATAATAAAACATAATCAGTAGTTCGCCATGCATGCATAAGCAAAAGAAAACCAAGTTGGACATACAAGATAACAGAAGTCAGTAAAATAGGAACATCGACCTATGCTATCAAACATTGTCTTTACCCGGCGTAACTGAAGGGGAGCTGTATTCAACCAGTCAAGTTTAGAAGGAAACTCTGGTACAATTGTTGCATCCCCCCTGCAACAAATCATAATATCAATTATTAAATGTCCCCAATAAAAATTATAGATAAATAATAAAATGTCAATTATACGTGCATTCTGACATATCAGCCAGGCATTTTGGTTTATATCTCAAATTTATATAGTAGGTATAATATTTTGCTGCTGAAGAATGGATATCAAGCAAATATTTTGATCAATTTTGTGGCATGCCATTCACTAAGTAATATAAACAGTTCTTTATTTAAGTTGATTATCCACTGACCAGTGTATTTGTGATATTTGGTGCAAGTGTGAACCTCCTCTACTAGGTTTCCTGGTAGAGATAGTAATACAAGTTGGTTTACTTCATCATGTGGGATTTCACAAATAACCCCTATCCCACTCAAAGATCACTTTCCCTTTTCAGCAAATGCAAAAAATCAAGGCAGGAGAAATTTATTTACCTTTTCTCTAGATCAGCTATGTAGTTTGTGAATTGTTGAATTCTAATGGAATAAGAATCTTCTGCAACCAGAGAAATATGACACATTGCATTAAAGAAAGTTGAATTGGTTCTACAGACATAAGTTATTAATAGCAGCTATGATGAGTCAATGTATTAGTAGAACAAAGATGTTGAAGAGAACATAAAAAATGGAGAAGAAAGATGCATTTATTGAAGTCATTTACAATAAAGAGCAAATATTTCCTTGTAAATTTAAGACCTTTATCCAATCCAAACGGAGGGCTTCTGACGCCAAACAACAAATTCCAGATAGCCTTGGAAGATGTATATTGCATTGCCTGCAAAGATGAAGCAGCTTCCAGAGACATTCGTAGTTAAAATGAAAGAAGAAAGGGTGGATGTGATAATCGATTGTGAATATGCTTCTTTTCCAACATATTTTCACCATACACTTTATACCTTCCAGTTTGCTACAGTGAAAAAAAGACAGGAGATAGCAATTCCCAAACTTCCATATCTCAAAATATCACGCCGAGAACCTTGCAACCTGTCAATATATCACTTAAATGCAATTTCAAGCAATGTTACTCCCGACAGCACTTAGTTGATCTTAAATAAGCATGGTTCAACAACAGTAAAGTTATTTCTGCTACATAATTATTTAACTAAATCTTCAAAATATATGAAAGTGTAACATTGAGAGAGAATTAGATAGAACTAATGAATGAATGAAAAAAAAGAAAAACTTTCAACTAGGTAGCAACACAAAGTCAAGTGCATATTGGATGCAGTAATAATATACAATACCTACAGGCATGGCATAAGGAGAGTTGCAACATTGTGTACAAAGTGAAAACTTCCAGTTAAACAATCATATATTAATGTCAAGGCTAATACTCTTGTTACATAAAGGATTTTGCATGATAATTCTCCAAAAGACTGCAAATGTATAGATTCGGAAAATTGCCATTACCGTTCACCAAACAAATCAGTCAACTATTTCAGGCATTAAGGCTAACTTGCAGGAATAAAAAAATTATGATCATGACACAAGTAAAACCGTGACTTAGAGAAATATAAAGAAGATTGTGTTGAAGAAAATAGATCCAGGTTCTTTGATTTGTATGCTCTTGAACAATAAAAAAATGGCGCACTATAACCAATAAAGTGATCAGCTAATAGGACTTCATTAGGAACACACTTAAAAGTGGAACTTTATGGATTAATCATGGTAAAAGATGCATTGTTGCAGCACAAAAAAGATAAGTTGTCTCCGAGCCATAGGTAGGAGCAGTCTAAATATGGGTTCTATACACTCCTGAAATGAAGGATTAACAACTATAAGTCAGATGACACAAAACTAATATAGATTCAACAGAAGACAAAGTTATCTCTCATAAATTGGCACTTCCCCTCTCAACAGTAATAATAATATACAACAGTTGATTTGCTTCAAAGTAAGAAGAGATTAAATTGAGAAAACAATAGAAATTAAAGAAAGTAATTGACAAAAAATAAACTTAAAACATACACACCAATATTTTTAGTTATTTTGAGATTTACGCAGAATCCTGAATGTTAATCAGAAAATGAGAGAAAAGGTTATATTAGATGGAAAAAATTGCTGTCAAACTTTACAACGGTTAAGAGATTTTCGCCTGTATTGGACTGGATGGAAAAATTATAGCTTGTACCAGTGTACAAAAAGCAGGAGAACATTATACAAGGCAACATATTTAGGTCAACATATTAGTTAAAGGATTACTGAGGCCAGCTTTATCCATGTGAGAGAGAAGGATGATGTTATAGCAGGAACTGCTCATTAGGTTAATGGCGAAACATTTTGCTTAGATGAAATTCTGATTATGTAACAAACACAAAACAATTTTCCTGCCATTGGACGTGTTTCGTGATAAAAAGAACTTGTATCTGCATACAGCAAAATCATCTGAAAGTAGCCATGGATCCATTCAATAGTATTTACCAGAGAGATTATTATTCCCAAAGTGCACAGAATCCAGATGACTAAAAGTTAAAATTTAGCCCTGTTTGGGCTCCATTTTTTCAAAAACTCGTTTTCAACCATATATTCTCTCATAAAATAATTTTACACGTAAACCTAAATCTTTTCTTTATTTTTTAACCACACATTCTCCAAAATAATCACTATTTCAAAACACATTTTTCTCCAAAAATGGGGGTCAAACAGGGGCTTAATCTTCTTAAGAAAGAAACAACTTGATAATAATTTCTAAACAAATAAAATTTATAAAACCTACAGAAACACAGAAAAGTAGGAAGTTCCTAGATATAATCAGAACATTAACTGGGAACATTCTGTAAATAAAGTCATTCTTACCCTCCAAAGGAGAAGCCTAAAGCTCCTGGAGAATTATCCTGCAATGAACTTATGTCTCTACTGTTCGAATACAGGGAACCTTGTGCAGAATCACCGATAGATTGTGATAACTGCATCTTTGCATCTGCAATGGTTTGTTATCATTAGACCTTCGTTGCAACAGAATATTACATATCAACCAGTATCCACTAAATAAAAAGGCTAGTTCACCGCTAAAAGATTTAACCCTGCCTTCTTTAGGAAAGCCACAGTCTACACTACAGAAAAATAAAAGTACAGGGCAACCACTAAATCAGCACAATGAAACGAACCTTCAAATAGATATAATATTCATTACAAGAGATGTCTTGATTTCCAAAATAACAGGAAGTGTAACTGCACAAACTACATTACTGACAGTACAAAAAGGGATTTTCTTATAATTCCAGAGCTACATACTATGCCAACTGGAGCCACCATTGATGATATCATCTAGTGATACTTTGCCTATCTCCTTTCTGATAAGTGATGGACCAGCTGCCTTCAAAGTATCTTCCGATAATGTTGTTGTTACAGCTATACATCTGCAAGCAGTGCAAAATAAGGAAGCTATTAAGAGAACTAAAACAGAATCATAAAAGATAGGGCAGAGGACAAAACAGGCAGTAGAATGTTTACAGTTGTCGGAATTTTCAAAGAGAGAACATTCATGGAAAAAAACAGCAGCGCATATAATTATTCGAAGAGAAAAAGGAACAAAGGACAAAATGCAGTTCATATAATATAAATCAGCAAACTAGTAGTAGGAGAAATGCAATTCATAAACAGATCAAAAATAGGACATAGAGATGTAATAAATGCACTCAAAAATTTTATAACATGAAACTAAATGAATTCAAAGAGAAGTTTAGCAATGAAATGCTATTCAAAGAATATGAAATCCAGTAAAATCAAAAGGAGAGCTCAACCTAAGGAACAGATGCCATTCACCAGAGTTGTGAGAGAGGACAATGGTATGAAAGAGCAACTCACAATCATCAGAGAGAGAAAAGAAATGGAAGATATGCAATTAAAGTAAACAATTATATGAAAACAATTGTATATTGGTATTTAATAGTACAAATTCTGGACAAGAGGAAAGCACAAATATAGAATTAATGAAGTAACCATACATCAAAAAGAGAGTTTCCAACAGAAGACAGCGAAATAGGTTGTAGATATCCTAATAAACCTTATATGATTACAGTCATTACCTCATGTTTGCTGATTTGGCAGCTTCTACTCCAGCTAATGCATCTTCAATCACAATACACTGCAACTTATGCTGTAAATATACAAACAGCAACAGCGACAAAAAGAACAACACAAAACCTTCCAATAGCATACCTCGCTAGGGGGAACATTCAGATTCATTGAAGCGGCTAAAAATATATCAGGAGCAGGTTTCAAGTTTTCGAATGCATCCGCAGACACAATTGCGTCAAACCTGATGATGCGAGAAGAGAACTTTATCATCAATACTCAATGAAGTAAAATATCTTTTATAGTTTACATAGACCCCATCAATTTATTAAAAGCGATGCTAGCAGATTCAAATTTTTATATAAAGAAACGTAAATTCATTAATTATAGAAGCAATTGCCAAGAGGATAAGGAATCATTTAATATCAATAAAATAACAAAAGTCAAGGATAACATATCTTTTCAACCACGAATAATTAAAGTAAAGGGTAAGCCCTTGGACTCCTTGCCTCTAGAAATCCATATGATGTTTAAAAACATAGCTCTATCCCATTACTTTGAAACTTATGTTCTTCCTTTCATCAAAAATCTTGTTGCTTTTCTCTGTACATATCACCCAAACCACCACTTTCCACATAATTACGCCCATCTTGCCCTTACCAAAGTTAATTAGCTTTAAAGGACTAAATCAAAACATCTACCCAAGGAAACCCAATCAAAACCAACCTCGTGAAGAAGTATACATCATAGCCTCTTTCAGCATCAAGATGAAAAAATAAGCAAACAGTAGAGTCTAGATCTTTATACCCTTCTCACACCATGAATAGGGAGAGAGAAATGTCTATGATCCCTTTATAGACACAGCACTCCATTGGGGGGTGGGGGGGGGGGGGGATGACATATTTTCACCCAATTCAAAAGCACATATTTTCCAATTAAAGACTAGTCNTTATCCACCGTTAACACCTGTCCTCTTACCACCGTCCATAATAAAAATGCCACTCGTGGGGGCAGTTTACATTTCCATACCATCTTCCAGGGGAATGAGCTCTCTTCAACTCCCGACAGAGATCTAAAATAGGTGCGAACGGAAAAAATACCATCTCGTGTCAATCTCCACCTGCTACTATCATCATCTCCTGCCCTGATATGTGCCTCATATAGAGATGTTAGAAACAACGCATAATCATCCAATTCCCAGTCCTGCAGACCCCGGCCAAAAACAGTATTCCAACTGAGGTTCCCATTGTAAATATCTAAGACATCATTCACCATGGCATTCGGCTCCAACGCAATTCGATACAAAGAAGGAAATCGCACCTTAAGCGATTGATCTCCACACCAACAGTCATCCCAAAAGCTTATTGTATTTCCATTCCCCGCAACAAATGTCAACCTATCCCTAAAATCACTCCACCCTCGCCGGATATACCGCCACAATGGTGCATGCAAAACATTGGTAATGGCAAGACTTGAACGTAGGTCATTTGCCTGGATTTAATACTATAACACCCAGTAACCCGGTGCCTGGATTTAATTGTAAGGATTTGAAAGTTTAGGGGACCTAATTGCAATTTCCAAAATTTGAGCTTCAGGCCATCTACAGTATCCGATTTTTCTTGACTAAGTAGAAAAGGAAATATTTTGTTATTTTATGTCAATTAATATTTTGTGAACGGTCTAGATTATTCCTTTAAATTTTAAAATTCGACTGACTTAGGTGATTATGGTATAATATACTTCGTATATACGTACACATGTTAAAATGTAAACAAGTATATTTATTAGTATAACTTAGGACACGTTAACAAGTATATTTACTAATATAAAGTGGGAATAATTGTTGTTAGTATAAATTAAGGATATTTTTGGGGTGAAAACATGGATTCACATGTGAGCTTGAAGGAAAGTAGCATGTTTGCGAAATAGTGTCTAAGGAAATGATTAAGGTTTCCAACAACAACGCTAGCTTACATTGATAAAGGCAAACCAGCAGCTACTAAATTTGCATCAACCTTGATGCGATCAGCACTGGATGCAACAGCAACTTTGAGGCCATTGCTTTTACACTGTTCATTAGAAATAGAAAATGCCATTAGTTTAGCAGAAAAATGAAATTTGAAGTCTTTATCTTGCCTGTATACCTGTGTTACAAGTTCCAAAGCACCAGGGAAACCTATGCCAGAATTTGGTTTCGCATACTGCAAAATGAAAATCGTGTAACTTCAAGGTTCAAGTATCTAATAGAGAAATTAGCAATTGGAATACTTGATGAACATTATTAAGAAACAGATAAATGGATACAACAAATAAGACAGTTCAATCACCTTATCCAAGTATATCTCAAAAAATCTCTTCTTTGCCACCTCGGGATTGAATTCCTTAACACCCTTTACAGAAGCAACCCCTCCTAAAAATTTGGCTTCTCCTGTTCCATTTTTAGGATAATTATGCATGCAGATAAGAAAGCGAATAAAAGAGAAACGGAGGTTAGTAGTAGGAAGAAAAAAAAAAACCAAGAAAAAAAGGTATGATACATCCCAATGTTTGCCTCCAAGTAACATGCATGAACGAATAATATAAGGGAGTCGAAATTTAAATGTAATAAGCTGCCTTTGAGGTGGACATAATGGATTTTAAACTATAAGCTTCAGAGAGCAGCAAACTTAAAAGATCCGCTATGGATTCTGATAAGAGAAACAATATTAAGACTAATAAACAAGTAGAAGACTTCTTTAAAATATCCAGAACCATTTCAGCCTAAGGCTGTACCTTACATAGGATAGAAGATGGGACTTTAGATGAGAAACTGACTGAGGCTAGCTTTACAGCAACACTTGTTGTCTCAGTTTACAGGGGACAAATGAGAGAACTTTCTTAAGGTCACCAAGGGGCAAGGGCTCTACTCGATATGGAGTTTCTGTAACACATCCAGATTTACTGGTGGGAAGTTTCTTAAACATATAATCTTGGTAATTAGTAAGGTCTCTAGTGGCTGAGCTATACAGCATTAGCCATTATATGAAAAGAAAGTTGTAAGCAGATTGCCTCTTCAAAGGATTCTGAAAAGGGGAATATATCAGCTATTGCATGCTGATTTAACCATCTTCATGTCTGGAGTAAATGAGATGAAGAAGAGAGAATTTAAGAGAAACTTGCAAAACACTTTTCATTAGGCATTCAATATCAATGAAAAGCATTACAGGTAATGAAGGAAACAAAGGAAAAGTAAATTCCATATTGGCCATTAACCTCGTTCGGTTCATTGTAGATTGAGGGATGAGATGCATCCAGGAACAAAAAACAAAAATCCTACAGGAAGCCCGTATAGGGATTTGTGGTGTCTTCCATGTGCATAAAGAAGCTCCATCTTTCCTCGACCTTTGCTGAAAATTTTTAGGAACCGTGTTTGTGTGTTGTGATTCAGATAGAAAGGCTTTTAGTTGGATATGGTGGAATCACAACACTGCTATCTGATTTTGCTAGTGTATATATTGTGGTCCAAATTCTAAGAAGACCATCAGTGATGGCAGGAATGTAATAGTAATGAAGGCTAGGAACCGTAGAAAAAGGGCAGCCATAGAACAATAGAGTAGGCTATCACCATCACACAAGTTGCAATATATTCTCTGTTTATATTAATTATAAATATTGCCCTGTATATATAGGAACCAAATATGAAAAAAGTTTCTGTTTATATTCTTTAGAGACATTACAATGTGTATATAGAAAACAATCAGCAGGCTGCATTAAATTTCACTGATAAAGTTATTAAATGGGAAAAAATTTCTAGAAATTCTACATACAATGTTAGAATATTATTCCAATTTATAAAATTGTTGCAGAGGGTGAGGAAAGTCATTTCATTTTGGAATTATTATCTGCATTGCCAGTGTAACTTTACAAAAGCATAATTGACATATTTCCACATCAGACAAAATCCTATTCCATCCTAGTCATTGGTAAGCTGAAACAGGATTACAATGCAAAATAATGAGGATCAGGTAAAATATTCTTATATTTAGTGTATGAAATTCACTCTTCCTTTTGTAATTCACAAAATCTTTTGTAGCCGCAGATTCACCCCCCCCCCCCCCCCCCCCCCCCCCAATAAAAAAAAAAACAAAAACAAAAAATAAAATTCCAAGATTGTTTGAGGTCTCAATCCCCGCTTGTTTGCATATGTGGTTCAGGAACAGGGATTTGCAAGTAAATCAGTCCCAAACTCAGAATTTTGTTAATGCCTTGATGTATCCAATCTGTGTAAAGCATGTGAACATATACTTGCCTAGTGCCTACTATCATAAACAACCAAACCAGTGACGACTTTAACATCAACAAATTAATGAGCCTCTAAAGATGAAATAATCGAGAACAAGGGATAATTTTACCTGTGCCCATGAAAGGCACAAAGTCTTCAACTGTTACTTGTACTCCCATTTCAGCAAACACATCAACGGCGGCCATTCTAGAAAGCTCCTCACTGTTGCACAGCACTCCATCCATGTCGAATAACACTGCCGAAACCTTCCCCCACTCGCTGCGAGTTTCTGGGACATTCTTTTCCTCCAATTTAACACACGCCTTTGTTCTAACTCTCCTTCGTGAAAACACACTGTTACCCTCCGATGGCCATTGAAAACACAGAGAACTTGAATTTGCGTTCAAGAAAGACAATTTTTTTAGCTGGGTTTTTGAAAAGCAAGTGGAACATGGTGGCGATAACAGTCTCAAGGACATTCTCTGAGAGTCGGAGCGGAGTGGAGGACGGAGGTCGCCAAATCTATTCTTGCTTTTGTGTTCGAGTGGCGGGGAAGGAGTTTCAGTTATTAATGAATCTGATATGACAAAATTACCCTTGCTCTGTGTTGAAAAATTGTGGGGATGGATATTGGTGGGTCCACATTTGTGGAGATAAAATTGCTTCTTCTGGTCATTACTTTTCTTTTCTTTATTTATTATTATTTTTTTCTCATTTTTTGTGGAGGATATTAGACAGCCATTAAGTACTTGGATGATAATGTTGGGCTTTTTATGTCAATGATTTTTTATTTTTATTTTTTCTAACTTTTTATTTTGTCAATGAGTTTCAGTTATTAATGAATCTGATATGACAAAATTACCCTTATGCGTTTTGAATGGTCCATGCGTTTTGAATAGTAACCACTTTATGTTGGATATTGTTAATGGATAAATTTTACATTATTTTAATATAAAAATATGAACTAACATTCTAGGGCTTTTATTTTTAATATTAATTTTTTCATTATTTATTTGAGATTCGTTTGCACTTTTTAAAATATTTTGGGAATGTG